TGCACCCAGCTGGAGCAGAGCTACCGTAGAGGGAGGGGGGTGGCTGGAAGGAGGTTGTGGCTCAAATGCTACAGACTCTGACTTTTCCTACCTAGATTTAGTAGATTTTCTTGAATAAATGTTTCTTCATTTCCTGTGTGCTGTTAGGTCAATTTCTAGGGAATTTAAGTAGTTTTTAAAAGTAATGTTCACCAGTTCAATGACTGTAGAAGAGGGTTTCCTTAGCTCCTCACATAGCCACTCTGGAAGTCCCACTCCCAACTCTAATTATCACATAGGAAATGCCAAAAATAAGGTCACTAAAAAGCCTATCATCTTACAGGTGCTTCCCCACGTTTATAATTTCTAGTATGTAAAAACAGGCACTTTCCACTGTTTTTCTCCTCCCTTACCCTCCTAGTTTACTGTTCAGCAGTACTCATTCACAGAAGCCATAAAAGGCTATAAAATGATTTAGCGATGCACGCTCAAATTAGCATGTTGAAACAAATGCACATTTACTAAAAGGTGTTCATTGCTTCATGAAATGATGATCTGTAAGAAACATAATTTCATGTATCAATTATCCCACATACCAGCTAAAGCTTGTCAGAAACTGTGAGAGACAAGAGAGAATAATTAAAATATTTTTAATTTGACTTGGTCACTTTATTCATAATGAGCATGAAGCTTTATTATAGATCTTAGTAAAATATCCAAAGAACCAATCATTTTAATGATCAATAGATATAAAAATATAGTTCTTAGATTCAAATATGACAAAATTGATATCTCTGAAGAGTCTTGAACACAGTAGATACTGAATTGCTCATTCAGTGATAGATTCAATTATTCAAGACATAGACATGTTTTATGTTTTCAAAGAGGCATGATATTTACATATTTTTTAAAAGCCAGTAACTCCAATACACCTCTAACTAGTGAATTAAGATAAGGTATTTTTTTTTAAAGATAGATTTTATTCATTTTTTAAAATTTGGTTTATTTTTGGCTGCGTTGGGTCTTCGTTGCTGCCCACGGGCTTTCTCTAGTTGCGGCGAGCGGGGGCTACTCTTTGTTGAGGTGCGTGGGCTTCTCATTGCAGTGGCTTCTCTTGTTGTGGAGCACGGGCTCTAGGCGCACGGGCTTCAGTAGTTGTGGCATGCAGGCTCAGTAGTTGTGGCTCGCGGGCTCTAGAGCACAGGCTCAGTAGTTGTGGCACACGGGCTTAGTTGCTCCACGGTATGTGGGATCTTCCCGGACCCGGGCTTGAACCTGTGTCCCCTGCATTGGCAGGCGGATTCTTAACCACTGTGCCACCAGAGAAGGCCAAGGTAAGGTACTTTTTAACTAGTAACCTACCCTCTACCCGAGACACAACTTTAATTATATTTCATAATCTTATAGGAAGCAAAATAAATAATTTCTGCCTTGCAGTCATATAATACCAATAACTCAAACTTTTCTCACCTTTACAAATGACTGGAAAATGAACAATTAGCCATTGAGTAGACAGTCTAAACCAGGAGTTGGCAAGGTTCAGCAAGGTATCTAGACTTATTTAAAATGATGTTGTTCATTCATTATATTCAGTTATTCATTAATCACTTTCTAGGTGCTGGTAGTATAGTGGTGATCAAAACAAAATGCATATACTTGTAAAGCTTATAATCTTGACATTCTCAAGAAAAAAACCTCTTAAAGTTAATTTTTCATTATTTTATCCAGCAGATTTGCTCCTCAAGGAGTTTTTAGTCTTTGTAAGAGAGAAAAGTACATAAATACCTATAATACAAGGCAGAGTGGGATGACTATCATAAAAGACTCCATGTATGTGAAATAATAATGGCTAACATGTATTGAACAGTTAATACATGCCATGTACTATCCTGTAAACATATTAATTTATTCAGTCCTCATGACAGCCCTATGAGGTAAATATTACTCTCTCTACATATGAGAAACCCAAGACTTTGAATAAGTAACCTGCCTAAGGTCAGATAACTGGTAAGAGCTAGAATTTGAAAACAGGTGGGCTGACTCTATATGCTACTCTCCTAACATTTTAATTTTATTGCCTGTGTGTACTGGCAACTATGAAACATCAGCAAAATCAAATATTAAGTATCTCAGTGTAAAGAACTATGCAGATACAGGTGTAAAGTATTATTAGAATTATTACAAGCCAACCTCAATCAAGAGAGTTTTTAATAAGTTCCTGTCTCTTTTAGGGAGCTTCTTTCAAATGTCAGGGAGGCTCTGCAATAATATATGGGTATGATCAGGCCCTACACATGTGTGGAAACTTAATATGTAACAGATAAGGCATTACAAAAAAATGGAAAAGGATGAACTATTTATAATCAATTGTGCTAACATAAGTGATTATTTATATGTAAAAAGTAAAATTAGATGCTGACCTTACACTATACACAAATATCCATTCCAGGTAGATTAAAGTCCTAAATATGAATACAAACTATAAAATTGTAGAAGAAAATGTATGAAAGTAGCTTAATGATCTTGAAGTAGGGAAGGATATCTTGTAGAAGACATAAAAAAGCACAAACCATAATGGAAAACATTGGTCAATTTGACTATGGTAAAGTGAAACACTTCTGTACCAAAAGAAATAAGTGAAAAGGTAGGCTGTAGCCAGAGATATAATATTTGCAATATACATAATTAATAAAGGATTTTAATTAAAAATATAGAGAACTTCTATACTAAGCATTTAAAATATTATTCAAGAAGGATAGCTATCCATATGCATAAAATTTTAAAACAAAGTTTTGAAAGAAAAAAGCAAAATGCTTTTGTAAATTATATGTAATGTGTGTACTGTTACTTAAAGTTACAAATCGAAACTTCCTCTCCAAAATAGAAGAAACAAAGCAGCTGATGCCTAAATGTCCTGCATTTCAATATTGTCCATCCCTAATTTTATCATGAATAACGATGAAAGGGTTTGGGCAAACCTTCCAAAAAGAGCTTCAGCACATTATTCCCCTTCTTACCTTGATTTTTTTTTTTTTTTGCTTTCTGTCTCTTCAACACTTATCAAACCATATAATAATTTTTTGATTATATGTCTGAGTCTCTGCTAGGCTGAAGTATATATATAGTTAACCCTTAAAAAACACGGGTTTTAACTTCGTGGATTTTTTCTTGATAAATACATATTACAGTACCGCAGGGTCTGCAGTTGATTGAATCTCTGGATGTGGAACTGTGGATATGGAGGAACCACAGATACATAGATCCGACTCTAAAGTTATACACGGATTTTTGACTGCATGAGGCTCAGTACTGATAACTTTCATGTTGTTCAAGCGTCAACATAATAAATAGTAAATGTTTGATCACTCAGTCAATAAAAGAATGCTATTAAAAGATTAAGGGTAGTCATTATCAGTAAATATATAGTAAGTGCTTAATAAAAGATACCTAACTCGATGTTAGTTAGAAATACAAAAAGGTCAAAAGCTCTTTATCCTCAAAATTTACAATATAATTAGAGAACAGATTAATTAAAAAAAGCAATCTAGGGAGGTATATACAAACCCCTTAACAATAGTCTTGTGCTTAAATTTTAACTGTTTTATATCTGCCTTCTTTTTCAAAGGACCTGATAATTATTCAGGTTGTTTTGTCACTGTCTTCTATAGAGTTTAATAATAAGCTCTTAAAAACTTTGTAGATCTGAAGGAAGGAAACCTTACATACTAAGAAAATTTTAGGATATCTCACAGAGAAAACTAGGGACCAGTTGAGCTTTTAAAGAGAGACTAACATACAAAAAAATAGTCTAATGACTTACTTGTTTACCAAATCATAAAAACAAGGTTCAGAGGAAGAACTCTTCATAAATATAACAACTATTTTCTGTAATAATAGCATTTAGTTTTTACCTCACTTCCTCCAAAAATTTTAACTTTTTAGAGGTTTAAAATTTTGATTTTACCTAAACCTATCTCCTTAGTTTAGAAAGAATGATTAACAGAGAGAGAAAGTATGGCCAATATTATTCAGATTTCATTTTCATTTAACAACCTACTGCTAAATAGTGGGTTTTAATCCTGTTTTCTCACATTGTCCTAACTTCATTGGTTGTGATAGCCCAACCCAATTCTATTGATGGATTAACATAAAGGTTAGTTACTTCTCCAAATCTTGACATGTGAAAAATAAATGAAATTCAGAAGTCAATGTCTATAAATGGAGTTTAATTGTAACACAAGAGTGCCCATTATATATTGTCTGTGGCTGCTTCACTGATACACTAGCAAAGTTGAATAGTTGCAACATAGAACATGAAGCTTGCAAAGCCTAAATTATTTACCATCTGGCCCTTTACTGAAAAGTTTGCTGACTACTGCTTTAGACCATATTACATCCTTCAATTAAGAATTAAGGCCACAAGATATTGCACAACCACACAAACTTCTCATCAGTTACTGTTGGCTTATGATAAATACAGTAGGTAAATGTTTATGAGAAAGAGTTTAGAAAAATTCTAAATGAAAGTAGCCCCTTTAAAAAGACAACTATAGAAACATTATAAACAAAATTTGTAGAAAAATGAATTTTTAAATAATTTATATTAATTATTACAGTGCATATTTTTATAAACTGGCTACTTCCAATTGAATATTAGTATTTTTTTTTTTTTTTTTTTTGTGGTACGCGGGCCTCTCACTGTTGTGGCCTCTCCCGTTGCAGAGCACAGGCTCCGGACGCGCAGGCTCAGCGGCCATGGCTCACGGGCCCAGCCGCTCCACGGCATGTGGAATCTTCCCAGACCGGGGCACGAACCCGTGTCCCCTGCATCGGCAGGCGGACTCTCAACCACTGCGCCACCAGGGAAGCCCAAATATTAGTATTTTAAATTGCTGATATTACCTTCAAGTTTTCTTTACATTATTTGCTAAATTAGTGTGCTTTATACTGTGATAGCATTATATTTTCAACTTAGACTACGCTTATTAAATTTTGAATTTTCTTTATTTTGTTAACTATAGATATCGTGTTGAAGGAATAATTCCAGAATCAACATCTAAACTATCTGATTTCCTCTACAAACCTGAAAACAGGGTCACATGGGACAAATCATTGAAAATGTACAGCATGGTACAAAAAATTGATTGGGTAATTTACTGTTTAATATTGGACTTTCACTGTATGAGTACACTTTTAGTTTTCTATCTTAGCGATTTGAGTTTATTAAATCTGTATTATGTGGACACTTTGTATTTTATAGGTTCAAATCAAGTTGAAATTTTTATAAAAAGCTTAAAACTTCCTTCTTTATTAGTCAAGAGTTCAATTCCAATTACCTTTATTCTGTTTTAAATGAATACCACATTCTGAACTTGGTCAGCTCTCCTGCAGATGTGTGCCTTCGGTTACTGAGGGGACTGAACTCATGGATTCACCTCCTCCATTAGGTGGAATAAAAAGATTAAGCATGCCTTGTTGATGGGAAGTCAGTAGATTTATCTTAGTCATAATACACTAGATAACAGGAACATCGTAGACACTTACTGTAAGGACTTAAGAACAAACAGCATGTGACTTTTTTAAAGAGTAAATGTGAAATAACATTATATTGTGGTTTTAGAAACACTTTCAAATACATTATCTCAGAAATGAAGAGGGAGAATAAAAACAGAAAAGAAAAATATAGGTAATGGACTAGAAATCTAAAGTCATAGAGGTGAGAGAAAGAAAGACAGAATGCAAGAGGCAAATAGGGCTTAAAAGGGGAGAGAAGATCAGGGTGAGGTGAGGGTAGAGTGAAAGCTCAGGAGGAGAAAAACATGAATGAAATGAGAAAGACTGTTAGCTGGTAGAAAGAAGGAGGAACAGGAAGAAGACAGGAGTGGGGTGAGGGATTCTGAACTCTGGTACAGCACAGTATAGGTCTGACACTTATTAAGACTGCTAGTATGTAAATTATACCTCATAAGCAGCTTTTAAAAATTGAGTCCTACTGTTTGGCTAATAATAACTTTATTAGAAGGAGCTGGTAAATGTGAATGTTGGAGTAATGCATACTTAAACAGTTGCATTTGTAAAATTCCACATCACTGAGTCTTTGGTTCTTAGGGTCTCCAAGCTGCATTTTACTCATCAAAACAAATGGCCCATATATCTGCCATCACCTTATCATTTATTTAGAACTCTGTAGGTTAACTTTACTGCCTTTTATTAAACTGATTTTGAAATCTGGGATGGGGGTGAGATTGTAGAAAAGCCCAGAAAGGTAAAGCATTTTCATCTTGTAGAGAGGCCTTGAAGTTCTTATCCACAAAGAACGCCTGTCCGTGACCTTCTTGGGATTTGAACATGGCCCATCACAAATGAAAATCCAAACATTGGACTGTTTCATTCATGATTGTATGATACTAATTATACAGTTTCAGTAGCATTTCAGATATTTCTGCTGTTGCTGCAAGTCAGCTGTAATAATGGAAAGTATACTAGATTTGGCATCAAAAAACTTGAAAACATAGAGGAATTTTGTGATTTGCCCAAGGTCACCACAGCCAATGTATGGTATAACCAGGACTTATACCTGATCTCCTCATTCCAAATTTGATGCCTTTTCCAGTATACCACAGTATCTCTGAATCACATTATACTGTGAGAAGAATTAGTCTGCCTTGCAGTGAATGTTTGTAGCATTCACTTCCAGGGGTGCATTTTAATTGACTCATTCACCCCATTGGTGAGGAAGGGATTCCTGCTCTAGGGTTATGGTGGTGGTTAAACACATGACACCAGCACTAGACAAATGAGATCCACAGCACTTTGTTAATCCTTAATCACAGCCCAGGAAGGACTGTTAAGACTTTGTTAAATTAACATTTGTTAGTGGAGCACGGGGTGCCAGTAGTGAGCCAGGTTCAACAAATGACCACAAGAGAAATTGAAATAGAGAAGTTTATTACTCACAGGTCGAGGAGGAAGTGTACAGCACGCCTCAAGGGCCCCATGTGGGGAGGTCAAGGCAGGCTGCAGACAGAGGCAGGACCTGAGGCACATGCCTTTATTAGTGTCTGTGGGTGGAGTGCTTTGGGGTTCCTGGGCTAAGGCCAGATTGATCAATTGGAACCAAAAAGAGCAGGGTTTTGGTAAGCTCCACAGGGGGGCATCTTACCTAAGGTGCTCACAAGGGGAAGGCCCTGGGAAGTGGGAGAGACAGTTGATCAGAAGCGCTGTTGGGGAAGTCATATCAGGAACTTACATTTGCTTGTGACTCTGAGGGCTGTTATCTGGGGGTGTCCTTACATGAGAGGACTAGTGTTAGTTTAAGGCCCCTGCAGGCTGCTCGGACAAACAAAACGGATACTGAGGCAGCAGTACCATGGAGTAGCTTAGCTATACTCTCAAGGATGCACCATGTCATGCAGTGTGACATGGGAGTTGCACTCAGGAACAGAGTGAATAACTACGGGACGTGCAAGGCAGGCTTTGTAGTATCAAGAGGTTGAGGTGACCCCTGATTCCTGCAGGAGGATCTGATTGGTTGTTGGAATAATTCTGCAGGGTAGCAGGGAGCTGAGACGCACTACTCAGGTATAAGTAGGCGTTGTGTCTGATCCTGCTGATCAGGAGGGTTGTTGGACTAAGGGTTCTTATCTGTGGGAACAGAGTGGGGAGAGGAACTTGCAGTTAGGCCATTCACAACCCTCCCAGTTTTACCAGATGTCAAAGCAGTGCATATATTGGCCTTTAATTTTAGGCCTTACACCACAGGCTGCTAAGTCAATATATTTTTCAGAATATATTACCTAGTCAGTGTGGGGTAGTAGACACAATATTGTACTGGAAATCCAGGTTCTAGTTCTATACATATCTCTAGTTCTACATGTAATTTAATGTTAGGCTTCAATTTCTTCATCAAAAAATTCAAAGGTTAGATAATATCAAGATTCCTTTCTGATTCTGTCACACTTATGATTATATTAACTCGTGTTAGATATATGATTTGCAAATATTTTCTCCCATTTTGTAGGTCATCTTTTCATCTTGTTGATAGTTTCCTTTTCTGTGCAGAAGCATTTTAGTTTGATGTAGTCCCACTCGTTTATTTTTGCTTTTGTTGCCTTGCACTTATAATTATACATCTAATGTTTCTTTAACACTGAAAATGCAAGTTGACTTGGTGATAAATTCTTAAAACCTCAAAGCCCTGCTTTTTCCAAATACAGTCCAACCTTATGCAGTTTGTTTCAGGACACATTCATATGTCATACCATTACACAAAGTTTTGCCATGGGCTCAATATCCCCCCGAGACTTTATCGACTTAGTGTATTTGAAGCACTGCGAAGGGAATATGGATATTATCAGTTGTAAGTTGAAACATTTTGCCCACACTTTGGAATTACTGTGAGTCATTAATAAATTTTTTTACTTTTAACTCACAGTTTGAAAGAATATTTTCAATTAATTATTTTTGTATTTACTTAGTGAGGCCAATAAATGCATGTTAATATAGATAAGCCTGAAGTTTTACCTAATTCTAGAGGTGCCATTTATATCACAGTCAATGATTATGGCATCTCCTGGCCTTTTTGCAGCATATACCCTGCAGCACTCAGTATAGATAGATACTTGCAGGCTAAAACGTCACAGCATACATTATAAAACTACTAAGAAACAAAATTGATCTTTGGATATATACTTTTGTATTTAAATTACATAGAATGGGTATATCTAGAAACTGAAAAAACTCATGAAGAAAATTTCAATAGATAGGTGTTTTCATAAATGTGCTTATATTTCTTTTAAAAATTGGAGGTTTTGATATACCCTTATCCACCCCCCGCCAAAAAAAAATGTGTCACTCTGTAAAATACAAATACATAACCACTTCCTAATTTGCGTTATTCACTTAAAACATACCAGTTCACACCCCAAAGATCTTCGGACTCCAAGAACTCAAGATAATTCATGGTGAAGGGACTTTGGTAGGACAATGGCCTAGAGCCCTTTTTTTCCCTGTAATTCAATTTAATCTCACTATTCCTATGTGAATAGTTTCCCCTACTGTAAACTACTTGGGGAGGGACAGTTAAGTGTTGTTAATTATTATTTTCCAACAAGGTTGCAGTTACTTTGATATATCTGTAGGACTCTTAAGTTTCTGAGTCCAGGACTGAGTCATTGCTCTGCTGATAGCACTCATGTGCACAGTTAGCTCTCTTGCCCATACCACTGGGGACTGCTGTTCATCACTTTCACATATTCGTCTCGTATAGTTTCATATAGTTGTCATTTAGTCGTCTCATTTTTAAATGAGGGCACATAAAAATTTATTCACTGCCTATAACACAAAATACTGTCCATTTGAATCATAGATCTGTTATTATCTATATTTTGAAAGCATTCAATTTGTATCTCATTTTTAGTGGTCAGAGGGAAGGTAAAAAATAAGTATGGAAGATAAAATCAATAAATAGTTATAATCAGTCATTCAGTGATCACTACTGAATTTGCTTTAAGTGATTTTCTTTGAATGAGTTTTTGATGATTACTGATAGTTTTCTTCTTAATGTTTCTGTTGTTGTCTAGCTTACTGTGTATCTTGCTTTGAGCTAAATATTTTGCATGCATTTTCTCACCGATGAGGAAACCGAAGTTCACAGAAATCAAGTTACATAGCTAATAACCAGCTCAAGTCTTTCTGATTTTCCAAAATCTGTACTAATTACCATACTACGTGCCTCACAAAAGACCCATACTTGTTTGTGGAGTACAACAAAATTTTTAAAAATAAAGACAAATATAATCTCCATATTTTAAACAGTGAAAAAATATGTTAATATCACTTCTGGCAGTACCATTTTGCCAACATAATTGGCTCTGTTAAGATGATGAAACAGGTCATGAAAATGGGAAATTGATTCCACCACATTTGTCTCCTAAGCTAGTCCTAAGCTAGTGCTTAACATTATATTTCTACAGAAGTGACTGCTTATGTTAAAATCATATAGGAAAATTCTCTGACAAAAGCAGGATTCAGTTGCACAGAAAAAACAAATATATTCTGTTGCACAGAATAAACAGTTGCACAGAGTAAACAAATATATTTGGAAGAGTATATATAATTATCATAAACATGATCAGATCACCTCCCTTATGCTGCATAATTCCTAAAACAAAATCTACTGATTTTTAATTATATATTGAAGTTCGCTACAGGGAATTGGCAGAAAGGGGCATTTAAACTACTTCTATTGACAGACCAAATAACTACATCAAATATTTTATTTTAAAAATTTATAAACCAAAACATCTATAAACCCACTATCCTAATAGAATAGTCTCTTTCTTTGTGATTTCTGCTTCAAATCTCAGAAAGTAATTGAACAATACTTTTAACAGTTTTTCCTGTATGTGAAAGATAACAGCATCTTTCAAAGTTCTACATGAAAAAGTGTGAGAGGACAGTAGTGATCATACTGATATTCTTTCATTTTTGGCCTGTGTACACATTCAAATGTGCAAACATACATACATATGTATAAAACTAATGTCACTGCTGATAATAACTAAGTTAAATCAAGTGCTATATCATACATTTTTTAAAATATGCTACTGGAGACAGAATTTTTCATCTTTGTGGAATAAGTTTCATTTTAATTTTTTTTTAATCACTTAGCTACTAGTGTGGATTTTCCAGCATATCCTCCATCTTCAAATTATATCCGTGGTTGTAACCATGCTTGTGGCTCTGTGTGTTCACCTCTGCAAGAGTACGTGTTATTTCCATATGTTTATTTTTTTACAGTTTTTTAGTTCAATTTGTAATTTGTTAACTAACTCACCAGAAATATGTTCTGGTATATTCTGTTGGGAAAAAAATTGCCCCAAATACAATTTTTAAAATAATTTTTTAAGTATTTTTGTCTTAAGTATAATCAGAATGGATAATTCCCTATAAAGTATGATTTGAGGTTTCTGGCACTAGTCACATATATACAAACATCCTCACCCCCTCCTATTAACCTTAACCTGATGTTTTATGTTTCTCCATTAGAGTCACTTCTGTGAATTATTAGGGAATTTTTGCAAATTAAAAATAAATTCACTAGAATTATAATGCAGTTATGTTTATCAGCAATGAATGCTTTACCTTGAATAAATTCTTTCCAATGGACTACCTACTGAGAACAGATACCTTGCAGAATGAGCCATCCAGTAGGTAAATTCAGAAAAGGAAGAGCTGGAGAAGTTAGAGATGAGTCGCTGCCCACAGGTGGCCAGCCTAGGGATAAGATGGTAACATCCAATACACATAGTCTTTAAATGCCTATATATTAATTCAATGTATATCATTCTACAAATTCGTTACATTTTAATTTTTGGTAAATGATTTTATATTAAATGATATCGACACATAAAACCAGGTGTAAAACTTTATAGTGGTCAGATATAAACAACTCAATATGAGAAAAATATTTTTGTGAAGGAAGTCAAACTACAATGACATTTAGACCCGTACGCCTTAATATTTTCTCTACTGAATTAGAGAACTAAAAGATATTCACAAATACTTACATTAATGGACAGGATCATTGATGCAGCTGATAATGTCGATGACGACATGGCCTTCCTGCCCATCCATCAGTTTTGTGTCTATGGCCAGGACTTTATTCTCCACAGCAGGAGAGAACAAAACAGGGAAGGGTTATTACTCCAGATCAGCTAGGTACATCAGCTGCTGGTGGGGACTCTAGTTGGGAAGCTACACAACCTAAAGTGTGCTTCACAGGCAAAGTCCCCTTCTTGCACCTTGTCACCGTTCCCTTTCCACTGCAAAAAGCATAGGACAAAAGCTCTGATTAAGATATCCCACCTAGGGCGGAAACTCTGCCTAGCATCTGCTGGAGAAGGGTACTGACAAAAAAGTAATTTTGTACCTTCTCTTTCCATGCAGCCCAAGTCCTATAGTAAACTTATAAAACATATTATCTGTAGTAAAGGTACTCTACAGTAAATGTTGGAAAGGCTTTGTTAGGTGTGTAAAGCCCTAGTAAGCTCAAATAGAGATCTAAGACTATACAAACTGCTAGTGCGTCCAGCCATTTGACACCCCCCAAGAGAATTTTGTAAAACTGTATACTGCCTTGCACATTTTTAAGTTGATATTAAAATTTTTCATAGCATTATATTAAGAGGGTGCAATGTCCAGCATACTCTAAATCCTGACATTTTAAAAAAATGGTTATATCACCCTTCTAAGTGCATCCAGTGGAATCTAAATACCATAACAACTTGAAACCCACCATTACATTATCAATTTCAAAATACATATAACCTTTAACAGTCAGAAAGTTTGTGTCATTTCTTTTCTTTTCTCCTTGATCCCATATTTTTACTCTTTTTCCCTTGCATAATTTTATCCTAATAGAATATATCTTATGCTTTGGGTTCTTTTATTAATCACTATCTATCTATTTTCAATCATACCTCAGCAAAAATAAGTACCTAATTTTTAAAATTTGTTTTATTTTCTATGACCCCAGTATCTAAATGTTAAAATATATATATGTGTACTGGTTTAAATTGTTATTACTACACATTGATAAAAATAAAAATATATTACATAATTGTTCAATATAAAAGCAAATTGTTGGGCTTCCCTGGTGGTGCAGTGGTTGAGAGTCTGCCTGCCGATGCAGGGGACACGGGTTCGTGCCCTGGTCCGGGAAGATCCCACATGCCGCAGAGCGGCTGGGCCCGTGAGCCATGGCCGCTGAGCCTGTGCATCTGGAGCCTGTGCTCCACAACGGGAGAGGCCACAACAGTGAGAGGCCCACGTACCGCAAAAAAAAAAAAGCAAATTGTTATTGGAAACACATATTATTAGCAAAACTTAGCACTTACTATGTGCCAGACACTGTTACAAACAATTTACATATACCAAGTAAGTCAATTATTTGATCCTCACAATTACCTCATGAAGTTGGTTGTATTACTGTCCCCATTTTGCAGAAAAGAAAATGGAAGCCCAGAGAGATTAAGTAACTTTCTCAGGGTTACACATAGGTAATAGCAAAGCTCAGCTTCAAACTATGCAGACTGGCTTCAGAGTCCATGCTTCTATCAATTACACTAATTTAACTGTAAAAAACATGGGACAAAAATGCTGATCTAGATGTCCCATCTAATAGAATGAGACTATCAAGTCTACTTCTACTTTGCATTTTTATAAAATAAGCATAGGAAACTTTGTTCACATAAATGAGTGAATTAAAATGGAGAGAGTGCAACCCTAGCACTGTCATTCAATCCCTTGAAATTCTTCTGAGTTATGTGCTGTGAATTACATAGTGACCTATAATCAAAAATTGTTTTTAACGTCCTATCAGGTGACAGCTCAATTAGATCCTTACATTTTATTGAAAGCAAAGAATTGACATGACTTGGTAAGGTTTTATTACCCAGCCATCTGTCATTCACTTTCTCAATTCACTTCCAATAGATTGAATTTTCCCTTTAGCATCTCAAAGACTTTTATATGCCAGAGTAAAGCACCTTGGTACCATTCAGTATTATTCAGGGGGGAATGACAGGCATCCCTTGGTTCTGTAAAGCAATAGAAGGGTGGTGTGAACAGGCTGGTGGCAAGAGAAAAGCCAGCATCTCCATCAGAGAAGTATTCTCAGATCAGTTTAAGGAAAAGTTACATGGAAGTTAGAGATTTGAAAATTTATTCCCTTAAATGTTATTCAGTCCCTCATACCCCTTGGCAAGTCTTCATATACTCTAGTTTGAAGATCACTGGGTTAAAATGTAAAATACTACAGTCTTCTTGGAAGGCAATTTGGAGATAACATTTCAAAATGTTAAATGCACAAAAACTTTGACCTAGAAACTGAATGTAAGTATTTATAGAAGTGCAAATGGATGCATTACAAGATGCTTTATTGCAGCTTTATTTATTTATTTATTTATTTATTTATTTATTTATTTTGCGGTACGCGGGCCTCTCACTGTTGCGGCCTCTCCCGTTGCGGAGCACAGGCACCGGACGCGCAGGCTCAGAGGCCATGGCTCATGTGCCCAGCCGCTCCGCGGGATGCGGGATCCTCCCGGACTGGGGCACGAACCCGTGTCCCCTGCATCGGCAGGGAAGCCCTATTGCAGCTTTATTTACAGTGGCAAAAAGTGAGAAACAACCCCATGACGGTCAATAGAGGACTGGTTAATAGAATATGAAATACCATGTGCAATCATGAAAAACAATTAAGCTGATCTATATAGATTGACACAGAAAGAGGTGCATGATATCATACTAAGAGGAAAATGAAACTAGTTCCAGAAAAATAAATATGTCTCATTTTTGTAAAACCAAGAATGTACATGTGCGTATATGTGGGGTACATATACATATATGTACATACATGCTATCTTTGTATATCCATAGACAATAACCTGAAAAGATACAAAGTTATAAATAGTGATTATCTCTGGTGAACAGAGGGGGAATTGTGAAAATGCTCTACAGTTTAAATTTTCATAAGCATATTACTTTTATAATTTTAAAAAGTCAATAAAATGACAAAAAGGAAATGATAACTAAAACTGAAGACTTTAAGATATAGTCTGACTACTTAATATTTTTATGTAAAATATTTATGAGTGTGCAAATCACTCTACATTTTGTCCTTCCTTCCTTCAGTAGCTGTTTACACTGTCACAAGCGCTATGTGGGCAATCACTGGCGAATAAGACAAGCTTCCTGCTCCTTGTCAACTTGTACACTCCATAGATAAACTTAAAAATTCTTTATATTTTTTAACTCTTCCTTTGTTTACAGGAACCCAGCATATTCCAAACTAGTGATGTTTGTCCAGACAGAAATGAGAGGAAAATTGGCCCCATCAATAATTGAAGCAACCGTGCCTTCCAATTTAGTAAGCTTCCTCCTCAATGTAAAGGATGGAGTAAAGACACAAAATTCCATCAGGACGTGGATGTCATCATAATGGGCATTCGTCATTCCTAAAGAAGAAATGAGGCCATTTAAAATCATGCGTGGCAGTTAACTGCCTTTTACTTCTAAGTCAATATGCATAAATACTGTTACACTATTCTAAACTGTATTCTTGAACAAACTACTAAAGGTACTTTGTGAAAATAAGAGCTCATAGTTGTACAAGAGAAGCATTAAATATAGTTTTTAATCTCATATAAGAACAATGTTAAACAACAAGTGTTCTTAATGCACTTTTATCTTTTGCTTTTTTCCCCTGGAAAATGCCCTGCAAGAAAACATCAATAAGAAAGCATATACAGGCAGAGGTCAGCATTAATTAAAGATTAAAATATATTTTAAATTGTTTTTCTTTCACTTACTGCTTAAATTGATAACTGTAGGAAGCATGAACATAAAAATTGAAAAGAATTCCACTAGAATGTTTGACAACTGATATCTGGAATCTGCAGCTGAATCATGAATCAATTTTTGGTCTGGCCAGAATGTAGTAGCCCGTTCCTCCCAAGTCCTTCCTCATAAAACTAGAAGACCTGCACTTACCACAACAGACAAGCATAGGAAGACTCCAGCATAGGTGGCAAGAAGAAGGCGAACTGGCCAAGGACCTGGAGACTTGAGGAATGTTTTAGCAGCGAGTTCTCTGGGTTTCCTTATTGCCATCCATATATTCCAGACAGGGCGCTGCCGAAGCCTCCAACCTGGAACTGCTGACAGGAAAGAAGAAAAAAGAGAGGGGGGAGGCTTTAGGAAAAAGCCTTCTCCTCCTCGCCATAGGAGTGCCCGCAAACAAAAGGGTGGCCCTGCAGAACACCAGCCAAACATCAACCTAAAAGCTGCACCTACCCCACCGTGTGGGCAAAGCAGAGCAAATCTTCCACCCCACCTCATCTCTGCGCCGCAGAAGCAGGCGGTGGTGCCTGGACACCCCCAGCCTGTGGTGTCGGCAGGGTTGAGCAGGGAGCTCATCTTCCACCTTCCATCCGGCAGAGGCAGGTATGGTGCTTTGATATCCCTGCTGGGGTAGTGTTAGTGGGATTCAGTGGCAGAGTGAGCTTCCACCCGCACCTGGCAGCAGCAAGATTTAACCAGCTAGGTCAAGGAAGAGCTAGTCGCCAGTCAGCTTCCCTGATCCTTGGTGCCACCAAGGCCCAGCACGATGTGAGCCTCCATCCCCACCCAGCATCAGTGTTTTGCCCTCTGTAGTGTGTTGAATGGTGACCCCCAAAAGGTACATCCTTGTCAAATCCCTGGAACCTTGAATGTGACCTTATTTGGAAAAAGGATCTCGGCAGATGTAATTAAGTTAAGGACCTCAGAATGAGATCATCCTGGATTATCAGGCTCTAAGTCCAGTCACAAGTGTCCTCATAAGAGATGCACAAAGAAGAGACATGTGGAGAGGAGGAGGCCATGTGAAGACAGAGGCAGAGGTTGGGGTTGTGCGGCCATAAGCCAAGCAACACCTAGAGCTGCCAGGAGCTGAAAGAGGCAAAGAAAGATTCTCCCCTAGAGCCTTCAGAGGCAGTGTGGCCCTGCTGACACTTTAATTTTGGACTTCTGGCCTCCAGAACTGTGAGAATAAAGTTCTGTTCCTTTAAGCCACCAAAATTTTGGTAATTTGTTACGATAGCTATAGGAAACTAATATACCCTCACTGGTGTCAGCAGGGCTCAGTGGGAATCTGGGCCTCTGCTCCTAGCTTGCATCAACAAGGTGAAGCAAGGTGTGGGACATGGGGTCAGTCAGCACTCCACTTCCCCTTCCCCTCCCTGGTGTCATCGGGACCCAGTGGGGAGCTGAGCTTATTTTTGCACTTGGAGGCAACAAATCTATGCAAATCAGTGCCCATTTTTGCCAGCAAGGGGAGCTGAGCTGCCCCCTCACATCTGCAATGAGGGTCGGTCAGTGCTCTACTTTCACCAGGGTGGTGAGAGCAGGGCCTAGTGGGGAGCTGAATGTACATACCCACCAGTCCTCGCATTACACCTCAACTAGCAGACTGCCTGCTGAGATGGAAGGTTCAATAGGATCCAGAGTCCTTTGGAAAGGAAAGAAGAACATCAGAATGGGTAAAAAGAGGTGAAAATGTCAAATGTCATATGCTATTCTCAGGAGTATATTAAATCACATTTGATGGTCGACAGCGGTACAAAAGCAATTCATTGGAGGAAGGACAGCCTTTCAGCAAATGGTGTTGGAGTAACTGACATCCAAAGGCCTAATCCTGCACTTCGTACAAAAACTAACTCAACATGGAACATGGGCTTAAATGTAAAACATTAAACTACAAAACTTCTAGGAAGAAAATCTTCAGAACCTACAGCTAGGCAGAATTCTTACACTGGATACCAAAAGTATGATCCATATAAGGAAAAATAGCAAATTAATCTTCATCAAAATTTAAAATGTATGCTCTAGGAAAGACCCTATGAAGAAGTATTATGGAAGGTGTCATCTGTAATAACGAAAATCCTATATAACGCAAAAGTTTGAAGGTAATACTGTCATCCAAGTAATATGAAAAATAAAAATAATTTAATTCTAAACTTAGATTTTTCTTTAAATATTTTAAATAATCTTTCTAATCATACAGCTCTCCTAATAATTTCAGATATTCAGACATTACTGGAATTACCAAAACAAAATGTTTATGTTTAATCAAATGAAATGCTTATTCCCTATGCACCTTCAAATCTTGGATATTATCTAACTGTGATGTTGGACATATAACATTAATGAACCAGAACCGTGCAACATGATTATATCAGTTAAGAAAATATTTGGCTGCAAAAAAAGAGGACTTTCAGAGAACATAAATGTTGAGAGGTTTATTGCTCTCACACAGGAAGTCTGGGAGTGTGCAGTACAGAGCTAATAATAATTGGGACCGGGGAGGCTCTTTACGTCACTCGATTCTGCTTCGATTGTAGCTTCTGTCTTTCTGTCCCAGTGGCACTGTCCCAGCGTTCCAAGCAGGACAAAGAAGGGTAAAACCTAAAAGACATTTTAGCTGATTTCATCCTGGTATGTAGCCTTTTTGGAAACCTCCACGTTCAATCCAAGATGTTCGCATCTCATTAGCCAAGAGTGGAACACATGGCCAGGCCTGGCATCTGAAGGTATTCTAGCATCTGTAGTAGAAAAAGAAAAAGGGAAGTTCTACTGGGGTGCAGAAATAAAATATTACAACTTCTACTTATGTTCATTTTTTTCAAAAAATCACTAATATATGCTGTGTGCCTTGCCTACAGTGTCACACTTCACCAGTTATGAAAGGGTCCTGAGACATATTATAGAAGACATTCTGAGGAGTAAGAATAAGTTCCACAATGTGGAAGTTTTGAAAGTGATTGTTGGCTTTCAGTATATTTTGACAAATTGGGTTTTCTAGGGTTACAGTTAAATTGATATAGTTTTAATGAAAAAAAAACCCTTGGAAAATGGAGAAGTGAATTTAAAAGATTTCTATAAAGAAACTAAGGATTGAAAATGCAAATAATGAAAGCAAAAACGAGAATATAGCAGAGCTGACATTTCATTAATGTGAGATCTTTGCAACATTATAAACAATAACAATATATGTAATTAGATCTCATAAGAAGTTAGAAAAATTATCAAGACTATTTGAAATATAAAATTGCATCCACTGTCAACGAAAATGAGCTTCATCCTAAATGTCTTTCATGTCTTAAGATATCTAACAACAATAGAATAAATTTATAATTTTAAACTATGTAAAAATAGAAGTACATTGAATTAAATATACATTTTGGTCAAACAGTAGGTGAGTATTAAAATCAGTATTTGTCCAAATCAAGGCCAGCTCCTATTATCACCATCATAGAATGAACTGGGACATAAGGATAAATCTGAAGTTTTATCAAAAAATATGTATTATAATTTTGTTTAAAATTTTTAGAAGTCTACATTTTCAAGTTTGACAATAATGTGCAGGGAAAAATGATTTCTCAGTATTGTCAGCTTCTAGACTATGCCTACAGTCACTATATTGTACCCCTTCAATACACAGGCTCAAGTGGCACACATAATGATATTACTAACTCCTTTGGACATAAAATCTGGGGAAAGTTTCTTCAGTTCTGTGAGTTTCAAAATGAACTTTGGGGGCTTCTCTGGTGGCGCAGTGCTTGAGAGTCCGCCTGCCGATGCAGGGGACACGGGTTCGTGCCCCGGTCTGGGAAGATCCCACATGCCGCGGAGTGGCTGGGCCCGTGAGCCATGGCCGCTGAGCCTGCATGTCCGGCTGACGTCCATTCTGATGACAGGGAAATGCTCCCTGATTAGACCCAACCCTGCTCTCTGGGAGCTGCTCCCTGACTCATTGTTCTCCAGCTTTTTGTCACACTATCTGAGATGCCCTCCTTTTCTCATCACCCTCCTTTATTCTTTGTGAAGAAATGATCCTTGTTAGCAGCTGAATAACTTTCTCAGGATGCTTCCTACCCAGAAAGTCAAGAGCCCAGAGACCTTTGTATAGCTTGACCCCTCTTTTCGTCCAGGCAGTTGGTGTTTTTGCTAGTAGTACTCTCTTTAAAACTTTTGAGCTTTCTGTAACTGTCTGGTTATGGTCCATTACATATTCAAAAGCCACACCCCCATAACTGGTATCAACATATACTTCTCTAGATTTTCCTATGGCTAATTTTGGATCTGACTTCTGTGCAACCACACCCTTAGGCTTTTGTCCACTTCAGAAAATCTCAGCACCACCTTAACTCTCTCAGAAGTCTTATCAAAATATCTGATAGTCACAGTGTTCATTTGATGTTTGACACATGTTCACATCTCACTTTGAGACTTTGCTAACTGGGGTGGCTGGAGATAAGGTGACAAGTTTTCCAATTTAGCAGTTCTGGCTCTCTATGTTACCTTTAACTTCTGCTTGCAACCTAACCATCTTTTTTTTTTTTTTAAAGTTCAACTTGTTCTTGTACGTAGTATACTCCATGTAGCTAAAAGCCACCAGGTGGCGGTTTCTACATTTTGCGTGGAGATAAAC